AAGTCCAGGACAATGGCACTTCACCCAAAGTCCGATGCGATGGTAAAAAAGTGAAACTGGACACTGGGACAGGAATTGGCAAAGTTTTGTAATAGCCGTCAAGATAACTGGGATGTCTTACTCCCTCCACTGTTGATGGCCTATAGGACAGCAGAGCATGAAACCACTGGATACACTCCAGCAAAGTTGATGTTTGGTCGGGAACTTCGGTGCCAGTGGATCTGTTAACAGGACGCCCACCTTATGAAAAGTTGCCTGTGAATATGTCAGAGTTTGTGAAAGTGTTATCGGAAAGGATGGATAATATTCACCATCAAGTGCGTTCAAACTTGAAAACGTCTGCTGATTCGATGAAGTTAACTTATGATAAGAGATCTACTGAAGTCAGCTTTGTACCAGGAAGCAAGGTGTGGTTGTATAATTCCAGGAAGACCAAAGGGAAGTCTCCTAAGTTGTCTTCTCCATGGGAAGGCCCATATGACATAATGGATCGTCTCTCAGACGTGACTTTCCAGGTAAAATGTGGTTGGCGAGGTAAGCCAAAAGTGGTGCATGTCAACAGGCTTTGGCGTTATCGCGGTCCAGGACATTTCAGTTGGGACGAAGTGGAAAACAGAACAAATGATGCTGCTGAAGACGTGCCACCTGAAGAAGCCACCATTGAAGAAGAAACTCTACTCAGTTTTGAGAAGGGAAACGGTGAAGCTCTTGATGAAGTTACTACCACTGATGTGACTGTTACCGATGATAGGACATTTACTGATGAGCGGATGAACCCCACATGAAGCAGAAGCCAATGAGACGGAGACCAGTACGGAAGAAGATACGTCCCGTAAAATTAAGAGACTTTGTTGAATTGTAATTTTGTCTTTGTAATTCTGTACAGTTAATTAAGTTATTGTTAATTGTTATTGGTTTATCATATGTGGTTATTGTTCGGGACGAACAATATTAAGGAGGGGGCAGTGTTGCGTCAGCGAGTCACATGACTACTGTGACACAACGTTTCTAGAACTATCATGTACTTTGGCGAATGATCTAGTATTTACTGGATATAGGGTGGTCGGGTATATATAAGAGGGGGACAACGTGACGCGGTAATGTAATGTGTGTATAGATAGTGAGTAATTGATCTGCGGTCAGAAGTATTATTGACGTTCGTTGTTATAGCGTTTGTTTAGCGCGATTGTTGAAGTTTAGTGTATTGGTAAACTTGTATTCGGAAAGAATAAATCAGTTTTATTAAGTAAAGAACTTGTGTCGCTAAAGTTTCGTCGGAACGAAGTTACGGATAGTTAATTAACAAACGGAGACGTAACAATACCATGAACACTCATCAGTATGGCATAAAGTTACTGCCAGTTAACCAATTGAAGCCTATCATTAACATGATTTAACCACTAGAAATATAGCACCTAACAGGAAGTGAAATAAGTACTTGAAGCCAAGAAGGGACATAACTAATTCAAACCAAGCAGGGACATGATTTATCTCACTTCAAGCCAAGAAGGGGCATGACTATATAATTAAGAGTCTAGCAAGAAGATGAATTAGCCACTTAAAGCTTAACAAATCTAAATGGTATACAAGTTAACTAACTGTAGCCTAGCAGAAATGTGAGCTCATCAACTGGTGCTTAGCTGAGATGGGAGTTAACCAACTGGAGCCTAGCAGAGGCATGAGTTATCGAACAGCAACCTAGCAGAGATGTCAGTTAACCAACTTGAGTCCAAGTAAAATATGAGTTAAGCACCTTAAGCTTAATACAAACATGAATAAACACATAGTATAACAGGACATGGGTAAATTTCAGGGAGTTTCTGATTATCATGTATTTTTTTTACATTTTATTTTTACTTTGACTTCAATTTCATGATTTAAAGAGAAAGGTTTTAAACTTTATGAAGGTTTCATTCTTAATGATTAAAAGTTTGTGTACTTTACACACTGTTTTTCTATCTTAACATCTGTTGCGTCAGCGAAGTCACGTGACTAGTATCACGCCACGTGATATATATAAGATGGTCACAAAGTGATGGCAACAGTGTGTGTGTAATTGAACTAAGTATTGTTGGGTCGAGCACGAGCACGTGAGGCGTTCGTTGAGAATTATAGCGCGACTGTTGAAATTAAGTGTATCGTAAAGTTGTATTCGGAAAGAATAAACCAATTTCATTTAAGAAAGAATTTGTGTCGCTAAAGTCTCGTCGGAACGAATTTACGGAAAATTAACTAACGAACAGAGACGTAACACATCTTATGTGTAGAAGCTTGGAAGCTACAAAACATGATTACTTGTACAATCCTTTAAATTCCTGCTGCTCTAAGAATATAATCAAGCAAACTGTGAGAAACAGACCAATTTCCTCACTGCAGAAATTCAATAATATGACATGACATTTGAACGGCTTAGGAGATGTAAATTAATCCTTAATCCATACATTAATGCAATAATGGTTTTGAAGTCAAACATTCCATCAGTATGTCCTTTTGAATTAACATACTCAAATAATCCACAATAGATAAAAATCCTCTAGGAACACTGATAAAACTAGATATCTCCAAAAGGTATCAGACCTACATAACTGATTTTAGTTATGTGGATTCAACAACTAGTTAAATTCTTTCAGGATCAGTACCAAGTCCAGAGATTGTTTACCTTATAGCAAAGCAAATGCCTTTGTGACCTTCAAAATGTACATTTTCAAAGACTATGATTAACATTTAAAGAATTAAAACTTTCTATCAGGCTCAACCAATGATATCCTAAAGAGAAGGATACAACTACAATAATGTAAAAATATGCACAAACTACATATCACAACAAAACAGTTTACACAAAATTCATTAAGTCTCTGAAAAGTTGCCAAAGAATTTGTTAATTGAACCTCAAGTTGAAAAAAAGATCAGAACGTGTTGCAAGGCCATTCTTTGACTAATAATATATTGTTACGTCTCCGTTTGTTAATTGATTTTTCCGTAACTTCGTTCCGACGAAACTTTAGCAACACAAGTATTTACTTAATAAAACTGGTTTATTCTTTCCGAATATAACTCTGCGATACACTTAATCTCAATATTCGCGCTAAAACAAACAGTATCACGAACGAACGTTAACTTCAACAATACCCTGTGACTGCAGTTCAATTACTCACTGTCTACACACACATTACATTACCGCGTCACGTTGTCCCCTCTTATATATACCCGACTACCCTATCTAGTAAATACTAGAGCATTCATGAAAGAACAAGATAGTTCTAGAAACTAGAGGGCGCCACACCAGTCACGTGACCTCGATGACGCAACAATATATACTCTTGGCACTTGGTAATTTTCCAGGAATCAATGTTCTACAAGCTGACATATCAGAACCGAAGTCCCAAGTGGATAACATCCAACAATAGTCACTGATGTTAACGCTTATAGCCCTTTCAGTTCGGTGTAATTTAAATAAAAAAACTCAAAATATCAAATCTGATATTGAGCAATAATGTTGCGACAGCGGGGGTCACGTGACGCTGGTAACACGTCATATTCTTGAAGGTTCGTGAAGTCTCGAGAGGCTAGTATATATGCAGTAGTCTTGTATATATAAGCCGCCAAGAAGCGACGGCAAGGATGTGTAATTGACAGATGAGTCAAGCACGTGAGACGTTCGTTGTGAATTATTGCATTTGTCATACCGCGACTGTGGAAATTAAGTGTATTGCAAAGTTGTATTCAGAAAGAATAAACCAGTTTTATTTAAGAAAAGACTTGTATCGCTAAAGTTTCTTTGGAAAGAATTTTTACAGAAAATTAACTAATGACCAGAGACGTAACAATAATTATGTTTTGATTTGCTACTGCTAGTATCCTGATGAACACCTGCTCCTGTAGGCTAACATTTCATTTTAACTAATCTATAAACAGCTGTGAAAAATGCTTCATAATCTTGACATGAAATAACATAACATAAAAGAATAACCCACTAAATTAAACTAAACACACACAAAAAACCCATATCATTCAAATATTCATCAAGCTATCCCTTAAACTCCCTTAACTGCATCAATCACATCAGAATGAAACCCAACCCAAAGCCCACCCACTCTGTAAGACAGCTTTATCTTTTAATAGACTAAAAATGACTTACCCTGCAAAAATTTATACTTATGTCCCCTCACCTTACCAATGTCACCATAAAATACAAAAACAAAAGTTAAGCATCAACACTACCAATTCCTTTAATAATCTTAAACATCTCAATCAGATCACCTCAAATTATTTTTTTTCTTTTCCAAGAAAAAACAAGTTCAGAGATATTAATCTACTGTTACGTCTGTGTTCGTTTGTTAATTTTTCTTAGAAATTATTTTCGAGAAACTTCAGAAATAAAGACTTTTCTTAAATAAAACTACTTTATTATTTCTCTATTCAACTTTGCAATACACTTAATTTCCACAGTCACTTTAACTTAAATACATGCTAGAATTCACAACAATTCACGCAATTTACTTACGGCTTGACTCGATTATCTGTCTGCAATTCAATTCCGAATGAATGTTTCCTTTATCAGGCATGCTTATATACAATAAAAGCACGTGCAAAGCACGTACTAGCCTCTTCACGAATCTTCTAGACACTCATCACGAGATACCAGCATCAAGTGACATCCGTTGTCATAACACCGCTCAATCCTTAATATTGTTTGTCCGAAACAGTAGCCACTTAAATCAAACCAATAGATAATAAACAATAACTTAATTAAACGTACAGAATTTACTAACACAAAATTAAAATTCAACAAAGTCTCTTAATTTTATGGGATGAATCTTCTTCTGTACTGGTGTCCATCTTGTTGGTTCTGCTTCACGTGGGGTTCATCTTCTCCATCAGGAAATGTCCTATTATCGGTAATAGTCACATCAGTGGTAGTAACTTCATGAAGGGCTTCACTATTTCCCTTCTCAATACCGAGTAGAGTTTCTTCTTTGACCGTAGCTTTTTCAGGTGACACGTCTTCAGCGGCATCTATTCTTCCATCATTCTCCTCATCCCAACTGAAATGTCCTGGAACATAATAAAGCCAAAACCTATTGGCTTGCACCACCTTTGGCTTACCTCGCCGACCACATTTTATTCGGAAAGTCACATCGTACGGCAACCAAAGTTCCCGGCCAAACATCAACTTTGCTGGAGTGTATCCAGTGGTTTCATGCTCTGCTGTTCTATAGGTCATTAAAAGTGGAGGGAGTAAGACATCCCAGTCATCTTGGTGGCTATTACAAAATTTTCCAACTCCTGTCCCAGTGTCCAGTTGTACTTTTCTACCATCCCATCAGACTGTGGGTGCAGTGGCGGTGTCCTGGTCTTTCGGATGCCAAACAACTTGCAGCATTCATGGAACATAGCCGATTCAAAGTTACAGCCTTGATCGGAATGCAGTTCATATGGCATACCAAATCTAAAGAAGAAATCACTATAGCCGAAGCTACAGTTGTATCTTCCTGATTTGA